ACAGCTGTAACAATTCTACGTTGATGTTCCTAGCTATTACAATCCCGACTACACAATGCTCTTATGTCTATGTCATGAAGTATGTAGCCCCTATCATTTTCCTTTTCTCACTGTTTCAATGCCTTTACTTGTACGATTACATCACCACCAAATCCCATTGATTACTGATCCACCTGACCCCCATCATCGATTACCAAATCACCTGTTACCCTTCTCCTTCTACTGGCTTCCACCACCTTCATTGTTCCTAAACTGTACAGCATTACATCACCATTTCTTGCAGATTGGATTATGTATAAATAGTCAAACCCCCACAGCCTGGTCCCTTATCTTAACCTCTCTGTCATTATCTTGGGACCAGTCTGCCTCTGCTCCGCTTAGTCGCTCCGCATTTACCAATCTGCTTAGTTGCTCCGCCTCTCTGCTCTGCTTAAGTCACTCCGCTGCTGCCGATTTGTGACAGTCTACGAGTTCCAGTCACCTCCACCTTCCTCCGTTAATGTCCTAGGGACCTCCCTGGACCTTCTAGGAAACCCTCCAAGGGTCACATCTCACAACTCGAACTACTACTAGGTCATTTCTGTCCTTGGTTGCAGTTCTCATAGCTCCCTTCAAGCTCCAGCTTGCTCCTAGCATGCTACAACATGAACTTCTCCTACCAAACCCACCCTTAAGACCAATTCTGACCCAGGTCTTACATTATACCAAGCTCTCCTGTCACCAAACGAACTTGTTGCGACAAAATGTCTGCAATGTCAACGGAACAACCTTCTAGTTCCAAACTCAAATCAAGAAAACAAAAGAGTGCCTTTTCTCATGGAAACATGACACAAACTCAAAGGTCAAACCAGGCTCTGCCATCACGGTGGTAGCTGGTCAATGTCTGATGTCCATTCCAGAACAGTTGCTCAGGGACGAACCCTCCAACGATGTAAGGACTCCTGAAGGATGTCAACCTGCGGCTTGGGAACCTCCTCCAGTGGATCCTGGACCTACAGGAGCAGCTATGGGGCCCCCACAATGGAGGTATGCTTCCATGGGATACGCTCAACTTGCCAGTGGTCCAATAGGAGGTTTTGCCTACTCTCCTACCTGGGGAATGAGGGGACCTCCCCCTGGGCCAATACCACAGTTAGACACGGAATCAGCCTGAACCGATCAGACTTCCTCTGGCTGTACAATGTCCTATTGGACCCCAAGCGGATGCTAGAACTACTGGAAGTAGAGGCTCATTACAGACGATTGTCCAGAAATCCAAGGGGGATGTTCCCCCTCCTCCCTCAGACCCATGGAATAGAAAGGGAGGTCTGCACCGAGGCCGGGTTACATATACTGTACCAAGCAATGAACTACAGGTCGGGAGCTGTACGATTCGAACCTCCCCCATTGAGAGTCAACATCCCGAATCACCATGCCATCCAAATGCTTTGAAATGCAAACTTAGCGGCGGCAGCAACTAAAATCAATGAGGAAGGCAATAGGGATGTAAGTTTAATTGCTGCAAGAAATTGCAGACGCAGAAGATACACCACTGTGCACCTCCTTGTACCAGTGGAATTAATGCCCAATCAAGATAGTTCTGTCCGAATTTGCAGCAGACAGACAGTGTACATGTACATGCCCATAAGGCATATGCACCAACTTCTGGTGAGGAGTGAGGAGTCCAAAGTGATGTTGTGTTCTCAAGAGACCCGACACCGGACCTTGCTAGTGGAATCAGATACTCTGATGCTGTCAGAGGAACATCCTGGATTGAATCTAGAAAGGGCCTTGGAATGGGGTTCGAGCCAATGAGGATCGTTGGCAAACCAGGGAGGAGCAGTACCTCCGCAAGAAGCTCCATTTGGAATTCCCTTTGAAACTGGAACTCAGGTGAACCGACCTGGCATGGCCGCTGAATCAGAATGCTCTCAGTAATCAGTGATTATGATCCAACAGCAGGCCCGAGTCATTGAGACGCTCCAAGAGCAGCTCCGTGAGGCAAGGAAAGAGTCCGTAGGGGGGGAAATATTGAATAGTAGACCGGTTTCCAGAACAGGAATCACAGCGAGATTCTTCAGACAAGTGCCATTGGTAAGAGTAGGTGGTACCGGAGGAGGCCCATCTCCCGGGGTTCCACAGCCAAGGAGCTGGCAGGATACGGAACCAATATCCTTTACTAGACATACCCCTATGGGAGTTAGGGAAGGGGACCCTCAGGAGGGACAAGCGGTCCCAATACCTGCCACCCCAAGTGTGGATAGGCGATGTATTCAGGAATGGGGAGCTTGCGTGCAAAGAGCAGAGTACGTGAGACCGGGGGGAGGACAGTGGATTAGCCGCGAGTGGAGGAGGCAAAGGAGGGTTTAACCTCCCTGATAGAGCGCCTCCCCCACACCTCTCAAGTCACTCAAGAGATTGAGAAAGACCCCCGGGCCAGGGAGGACGGGATCAACGGGGACAGGCAGGAAGGAGTGGAGGAGGGGCCCCCCCTCCGCCTCCTCTTCTGCCACCACCTTCAGGAGGACCAGGTGATAACAATTCCAATGGTCCAACAAAAGGGAACACACCCAGTTGGGTAGGAACAGTGGCAGGGAGAACAAGGACAGGGGGGAGCTCCCCACTGGAGCTCCTGAAGTACCTCCAACCCACTATGATCCTGACCAACCCTGGTACTACAATCCCCAGCAGGGTTGGCACCATAAAGTAGCTTCGAGACCCTCCAACAAAGGATGGAATATGTGAGAGAGCAACGAGGAGAAGAATTGAAACACCATCGAGTTGAAACTCAATGTTGGTAAGATTGAGAGCTTTGCAGGTGACGATCGTTCTGCATGGAAGACATGGGTCCTCAGTTTGGAAAGGATGTTTGGGGTACATCCTACTATCTACGCTTGAGAAAAGGAAAAGTGTGCTTCGGCAGCCAGCCATCTCACTGGCGCAGCACTCTCCCACTTTGATACGTTGAATTGGAAGAAACAGCAATGCAATACCATACAGTTCAGGCACAAGGCAGGTGGATGAAACTGATTGAAGGAGAAGGTGGATCAGTAATTCATGGGGAATGACAGTGATGAAATGTGATGATCATGGAATGGTGTATTGTACAAGTAAAAGCATAGAGATGATGAGAATAGGAAATAATAGGGGCTGCAAACTTCATGACACTTTGTTTGGCACTGAATGTCAGCTAGGTATCCCACCATAAGTCTGCATACTGTAAGGCCTGGGTCAGAATAGGCCTTAAGGTAGGGTTTGGTATAGGAAGGTTTATGTTGTAGCGTGCTAGGAGCAAGCTGGAGCTCGAAGGGAGCTACGGGAACCGCGACCGAGGACAGGAATGACCTAGTAGTAGCTGGGGCGAATAGGGGTGACCCTTGAGGGGGTTCCTAGGAGGTCCAGAGAGGTCCCTAAGGCGTAAGGAGGTTAGGTAGGAGTACGGAACCTTGTGATATTGCGTAGTAGGAGTTGCACTCACTAGAACGTCAATATAGGATTCAAATAGGTCGTAGATAGGAATGAGTCCCGAGGTGGTAAGCTCCCGAGAAGGTATACGCCCGGGAGGGTAGGTTCCCAGGGACTGGCTGGAGGATGGACGTCCTTGAGTGTTATAGGTGGTAACGGAGAAGTGGTGCGTGGTTCGACGTGAGGGGTAGCTTTGACGTTACTTAGATCGAGGTCCCAAAGCTTAGGAAGTAGCTAGGGAACTCGAGGAGGTTTTGGGAGGTTAGCTCACCGAGGCGGTAGGCGTTGAGGAGCTTAAGTATTGTTCGAGGGAGCTCGGGAACTCACTCGGATGGCTTAGACGTGAAGTAAAAGCGTGTATTGGACCGTATAGACGATCGAAGAGACGATAGACAAGAGTTGAGAGAAACAGAGATAAAGAAATAGAAAGTAAAGAGAATTCCGTATAGGTAGCAGGTACAAAGGGACAGGGACTGGACCTATGTAAAGGGTGTGTGTTCAAAATATACCAAGCTAGGGACGTTTATGTTACCGAGGATACTTATATAGGTGGGATGAATAGGTAAGGGGACATTGTGGTAAACGAGCATCTAATGGGGATGGCATGAAGTGCGGATGTTGAACGCGGCTATGCTGTTCACACGTCACTAATACGGTCATGTGTTATCCTAGTCTATGCTTAGTATACACTGACATCATATACCATATGCGGATACCTCAGTACTTCCTTATGTAATACTGTCATACATTTATGTATATAAGTAGCTATGTCCTGTACTGGAATCCAACTCGCTTCTCTCTCATCTTTATTGCCTCACTGAGACTATAAGCTATACTACCCATGGTGCTAGAGAGTGTCACCACTATGCACCCCTTGCCTGCTCAACAGCGGAGCCCATGAGGCTAAATTGATAGATCGTCCGATGGTGTACGCGAGTCTTGAGACTGTTGTCAGGAGGTTGACTAGGTTTCTGTGGTTCCTGGGGGATTCCTGGGAGGTTATGGTTTCGTGGAGGTTATTTAGGAAGTGGGGGATATAATGAGGAGGTTGGGAACTAGTCGGGCACAGGAATGGGGAGCTTGTGAGCTATGCGGGCCCGGGGCAAGGCATGACACATACCTCCTAAGTATCATGCAGGGCTTAGATTCAAGTACAACTGCCTTTCTAAGGACTTGTCTATCAGCTCAGGCTCACTACAGCTCTTTTTAACCTATCTTTAGAAGGATGTTCTATTCCAAGTGTTTCTAACACTAGCTTGAAATTTGGCTTATCAGTAATATGAAGGCAAGGACATTCCCAATCTTTCCTTTCATTTTGTCACTTGTGGGAGGGTGGAAGGGGGGAATCCTCATGAATGCCATTCGCAGCTTGTTATACCCAGAGAGGATCTGCTTTGTACTCAGTAGCCAGACCTAGATCCATCCTAATCATTAATAACAATTAATGCAATCAAACCCCGTGGTTACATATGGAATAATACTCCAAAAATACACCAACAGGAAGGACCCCTTCGAAAGTTAGAAATACAAAGAATTGAGGATATTGAATCCCCAAACGACGCCAGCAGGCTTTGAACCTGCGCCCTCAAAGAGGAACAGATCATAATGTGCTCCAAGATCGCCTTATTCTAATCTGTCGCCGTAACCACTTGGCTATAGCGCCGGCTACCTTATTTACGGTACGTACATATTTGAACGGTTCATCTAGTTCCTTTCAGTCGCACTCTTTCGACTGAGAGCGGCTGAGATATTATATGACATTGATGTTGTTGGATTGAGGAGGGGGCCGGAGAGAGAGGGGGAATGAATCATGATAGGAATGGAATAGAGTGGCCCATGGAGGGGCTGAAAGGCTGAAAATGCCAAGCTATTAATTGAAGGGGAATGGGAAGTGGTGGCGGAAGTGGATTCTCATTTCAAGTTCATTGTGAGTGTGTTATTGAGTGATTTCCTCAAATAGATTATTGAATGATTTCCCTGTGTACTCCCAATATACACAACACTTGGGATACTACACACTTTCTCTGTCAGGATCTCTGAGGATCTCGGTTAGTATCTCTCTATCCGTATCAATGATCAACGACATTCACATCCTTTTCAAGAGCCTCACTAATCGCAGTTCACTTACTCTCTTTGAGTAGTCTTTATCGACATGCGATTGCAGGCCACTGCACCACCGTGCATGGCAAAAACTCGGCTCCTTCTTGGGGGGTTATTAAATATTATGGAATCAAATAAACGGGGCGCCTTTCAGGCGCCTACATTGAATTTTTTCGAGAAAAGCTAAATAAAAGCAAATTTACATAAACTATTTATGGGAGTGACTCATGAGACGAGAAAAAAAAATCGTGACAGAGAGTCACACTTCGGTATCCCGTGCCGGTCACAGAAAAAATCAATACAATTCAACTCAGTGTTACATTTGGCCAAATAAGGTGAAACTACTACCATAAAAGGAAATCAAAATTGTATGGAGCGGCGTATATAAGGACGATACTTCCGTAAACTACAGCCTCGTAACCTACCACGATGAACGGAAACTTTATGACGGGGGTTTCTGGATTACATGTTCTATTTACTAGTATATATGGGGGAGCTCTTTACAATACCCGTGTGATCTTCTAACTTCAAATGCCCTCAAACTATGTAGAAAACGACAAAGGATCCAGAGGAGTCTAGAAACCGTGGTTTCAATGGTTGTGAGATAGCGGTAGTATCTAGCATCTAGCATCTGGCATCTGGCCATCTAGCATCCAGCAATAGTGATAGTAATTGAGGTATTGCACACCAGTACATAGGACATAGGATATAGAATAATTTGCTTTCATTTGGATGTCTTTCCTGTGAACCCACCAGCACTGCTAAGAATGATAAAGACACTCCTCGATTGATAGTAACAACATGAACATGAACTAAACTGGAATAAATATATTCAACTCCTTCCCCATTGTCAGGCTATCCCTCTCCCACATCCCTTCCCACCTCCCACATCCCTTCTGAAGAACCACCGAAAACCCACAAACTCCACAAACCCACAAAACCTGCCTATAAACCCCTCACACCTACACAAACCCCTCAAAAAAAATCACCGACGCACCCGATACGTCTCCTCCGGTCTCGGGATAAGCGGGGTCTGTGAAGACCACGAGGCGGTACTCGATGTCGTCGAAGTAGTTGAGGTGCTGGAAGAACTCTGTTGCCTCGTCAAGGAACTAGTGATATCCGACCACTGGGCTGGGTCTCCCACCCCTCCCCCTTCCCCACAACTTACACCACTTAACTCACTCCCACCATTCACCCCACTCATCCCACTTACGCGTCGCCCACCCCCACTACACAAATCAAGCGTCACGCCCCCAGTCTCCATCAACTGCACAAACGCATGATTACACCTCTTCGTCTCAAACCCCGGGATGTTGCTCAGATCCGCGGATGAGGGGTACAAGTGGCGGGTGGTATGGAGGAGGAGAACCGTTGTTAAACCTATAATATCCAAGGGTTACATTCGAGGTTTTAGTGTTTTATTTCAACCCAGGACGAGACGGATACAAAGGAACAACGGCACCCACCGATTAAATTATACGTGACTCCCACAAACACCTCTGCGCCAGGCGAGACTGGGTGACCTCTTGCGGCGCTGAGACCGGCGATCCCGGATGGAAGCAGAAGGAGGATGTAGGAAATGGGGAACCAGACCATGCGGCCAGCGAAACGCAGCATGGCTGTGTCGATTAAGTCACGGCTGAAGACGAGTTGCCAGCTGTCAGAGCTGGGGACGTGTTGGAATCGCCATTTGCAAGTGGACTTGATCGATTTTGTAGTGTTGTCGTTGTCGCTGTCGTTGTCAGGGTCAGAGACTTTGTGATCGTCGTCGAGGGATTTGGCGGAGCTGCTCGGGGTATGGTCGTCGTGGACGTTGACGAGGATAAGGTTTCCTCTGACGCGAAGGAGGACAAATGTAAACAAGATACATGAAAGAGATTCCTACACGGAACATTAGGAAGAACTCAAGACATATCGACCGGGGACCGCACCAAAAAATACTCCAAAAGAACCTGTTCATCTCTATACCCATCCGTAATCCAACACTCCACCCGATTCCCAGACCCGTGATACCGAAATACCTCCCTCGCTGCTTTGTCTGTTGTATCACCATCGGACCAATCGCCACAATCCCCGCCACGACCCCCCACCCAGAAATCGTCGCAACCCAAAACCACCTCATGCTCGCCGGGGAACGGAGGAAGAGGATATTAAAGAGATGCAGAGCGATGATAAAAGACCACAGCGCAGTTGCCAGGTTTCCTGCTTGTTTCAATGCACCTTGAGCAGTACAGACACCCCCCACCTGCACCCCTCCGTGCGCTATCCAATCAAACGACATCACCGTCGCACTCGCAATCATGCCGTTCCCCACCAACAGCGACGTGAGATAGCCAAACAAATGCGTGCGTGCGTACGTTGTGGATTTCAGCGGTCGGAATACAAATAATGAGAGGATAGCGAGGAGGGAGATGAGGCCTGTGATGGAGATACACTGCAGAGTCAGAGTGTGTGTGTTGTTAGTATTGCTGTAGGAGGGTGAGAGGTGTAGACGCACGATAACGCCAATCCGATCTTGAGAGTCGCACATATACTCCTCTAAAATCACAAACGCAGACATAACATAATAGAAACAATAAGTTCCTCCACCTGCCACCCCCACCGAACGACTCTTCGCTGACTTGTTGTCCAACTATCTAGATTTTCGTCGATGCCGAAGCCCTCAAAAACCAACAAACCCTCGAAAAATACCTCACCCAGCACAAATTCCCCGGGTCCTCTATCCTCATCGCCCACTCCCCAGACAAAGAGCACAAAGGAGAACTAATGATCTTCCTCCCAGGGATCTTCATCTCCACCTCAATATACAACCCCACTCACCCCCTGCCCAAGCTCAACTACCTCAGCACGTATGTCGGTCTGTGCAAAGTTGGTACTAAGTACATAGTCCTCCAGACTTCCGATAGAATTCTATTACTGACATTGCTGACGGTTTTTTTTTTTGTTTTTTTGGTTACTACTCAGTGATGGCCCACCAGCCGTTTAGAGCGGTTGCGGCATGGGAAGCCGCTTTGGCCGAAGGGGTTGACCACTTTGAGTACATTGAGATACTGCGAAGATCTTTCCAAAGGCGTAGAAGCTTGATTCGGTGCATATATTTACCTTGGTGTCAAAGACACGGATAGTTGATAAAAAGCTTCGATCAGTATAATCGTGTACTCACCACATATGCAGACCCACACCGCCGCCTAGAAAGGAACTGAATAATCGCATAAGGAAGCCAAACGTGATGTCCCCGCGAAATTTCGCAGACGCGAGCAGAGCCATGATACTATCGAAATTGAATGAGAGGACGCGAGCGTTTGGAAAGGACAACGTTGGTCAGGGAAACAACGCACATTCCCCAAAGGAATTGATTGTCCAGAACCGCATTCCCCAAAAATGGAATCAGTCGATATTCAATGCGCTAAGAAGTGAGAGGACCTGCTCACCGTAAGCAAATTGCGCTGATCCAGGAATGAAGAACGGGATGCACATAAGCGCTGCTCATTAAATCCTTCAGTATCGAAAGAGGGATCAAATAACCCACCGCTCACTCGTGAGGACTCCCGCTTTCATGACATACAGCGCGTTCCCAGTCGTCAAGCCCACGACGCGGTGGAGATCCATCTGTCCATGAACTCCCCTACATTGCTCAGAAGCAGCGCATCTGGGTCTCTTTGTTTGTCTACGGTAAGCCCATGCCATACATATCATCCTCTTCGTCGTTCAGGACGCGATTCCCAACCTTCGTTCCACCCGAAAGTTCATCAAATTCAATATCGCTCCCCGATCGACATGATGAACCCGGTCTGGATCCTCTTCTTCCCCTTCTTCTCCTTCTGCACCAGCGCTCGCACTGCGACCAACGTTATCGTTGTCCGTCCAGACACTCTTGATCCATTCCAAGAATACAGTGACACTTGTAAGACTATGAAACGTTGGCGTCCAAACACGATGATGGCGACGCTCAGGTCGGGTTTCTAAGAGGATAACGGGATCGAAGAGTTCTCCTAGTATATCCGCAAATCGCATGAGGTGGTACTGGTACACATAACAGTTGAACAAGTATCGATGAGACGGCAGCTGGTTGTACTCATGATACCAATTCTTTTGAATCTTCTGTACCGATAGGACAGTTTAGTTTTCTCTCGACGCTCAGTTTGAGCAGCAGTGCTGAGTAGAGTAGAAGAGATGATTCCCCGCGCTAGCCTCCAAGACGCACTGTCTCGAGAAGCAACACCAGCGAACCATGATCGAAGACACACGGTGGCAGATTAACATTGCTCGAGAATCTTCTTGCAAGAATTTGTGAGTCTGAGTGGCATGAGATTCCGTCTGTCCTGGGGTCATGCCATACATGAGCTTCTGGATTCAGATATATCTGGCTCTTAAAGACACCAACTAAGAAATATCAATAAGAAACCAACTTTTTATTCACAAGTCGAGGTGAAATTTACACGCCAGGTGCATGTGAGGTATGCCGATTTCCATACGATGACACGATGACGAGGCTCGGTGATGGAAACGGCTACTGTTATGTAAATGCGCCCGATGTAGGAGATTACTGAGATGATGATG